AAAGGGTAAAATTGTTGCAGGTGAGTGGTTAGGAGGGGCTCAAGGAGGGTAAGTGGCTGGGTTGATTGATGGATGGACCCTGTCACCAGTGACCCGGGTGGCTGATAATGGCATCGTGGGCACGGCTTGATCTCAGGTAGTGGCACATCACCTAACAGTGTGATCTCGGACCTACAATGAAAAGGGAAGGAGAGGCACGGGGTGAGCCATTTTTTATTTTTTAATGGGGAATAACCCACCCGGACACAGATCACCAATCCACAACGGGGGGTGATATATATTAGAGGAGAAAATGGGTATGTTAATCTACACGAAAATGCCTAAAAACCAGTTTTGGGAGTGAGATTGTAAGAGGATGGAAACACAGAAGGCAGAGTATTCCACAGTTTGGCTGTGACGAAAGGATATACTATATCGGGTTATTCTAGGGTGATCGACATCCACACAGAAACTGTGAGCACCGTGGGTAAGACGAGTGCTAAGAACCCACTGCCTTGCCAGCGGTACACAGGCTGCCAAAGTCACCGAACACTGCCCGTTAAAAGTACCTGTAAAAGAGAGTGAAGCAATATTGCGGCGAAGAGAAAGGGAATAGATATTATTAACCAAAGGAGAAGAGTTAATAAGACTAAATGCCTTTGATTCCACCCTATCTAACAGTTGGACAGAAGAACCACTCCAGATATGAAAGCAGTACTCCAAGTTAGGACGAATGAATCTCTTTCAAACCTGAAGCAACTGCTCAGGAGTGAAGTAGCTTTGGCATCTGTACAACGTTCCCAGCTTTTAGGAAGCAACTTTAGCAATGTTGTGGATGTGTCTGTAGTGAATTTCTCCCCTACAAACGCTGTTTGTCGCTGAGTAGCCGATCCCGCGAATTCCCCAGTGTATGCCTCGTGGTCTAGGTCAACCAGCGCCGCCTTACATGACGGAGGTCAACTACTAAGCCACGCCTACCTCCGCTATTTAAGACCTGACCTCGTGGTGACCACCCTCTTTTCTACCTACACCAACCAGCCAGCAACACCTCCTCCTCCTGCCTGGCGGTCCTCGCTCCCGCCGGAGAGCATGGCGACCCACAAGCTGTCCTCCTCTGAGCGCCCTCACCAACCAGCTCTCTCTACATCACGCTTGTAACCACGCTGCCACTTCCCAGCACCAAGCTGCATTGTATATTCAATACAACATGTATACAGAGAGCACATTGTGAGTTTCCTTTCTCCATCCCATCCTGAGTGTGAACCCAAATAACTGCGACCCCACATGTCTTCCTTGACACAACAACCCTTAAATGCAAATTAAAGATCAAATGAAACCAGTACCACCACAGCCGTCGATTTAAGGTCAAACAATAGTGAGTATACTGCCACTAGAGTGGTATGTGTTATATAATATTTTGTCTCACACCTAGTAATCATAAAAAGTGAGGTGAGTGATGGGGTGTGGGGCGTACAAGGCGTGGACAAGGACTGCGGCCACTTTGCTCCCCTGTACACTGGCCTGAGCCACAAGGCCGAACGCGAAAGTAAAATACAGGAGTGAGGCGGCCAGAACACCGGTGTATATGGGGCAAGAAACTGTGGGTGACCCCCATACTTAGTGACCTAATTGTCACACATCCCCCTTCTCTATTATCTAACAACTTAATTTTATATACAATAATTAATCATCCATGTTGGAAATAACGCTTCTTGTCCGATCAGCGAAGTTAAGCAATGTTGGGTCGGTTAGTACTTGGATGGATGACAGCCTGGCCCTACGAACTGCAGATGCTGGTGGCATAAGGACTGTTGGAAACAAGCTTCTCATGGGTTTTTCAGCTGTCCTTGGTCTTATTACCTGAATGTAAATTATTATTATAACAAAGACTACTGTAAGTGAGCGGTGTTTACAAAATTCATAGCAGAAGCACCTGAAATAGAAAAGTGAATGATAATACCCATTTTTATATTAGTGTGTGTGAAGGATTTATGTGAGCTGTGTGACCTCCGACTGTAAGGTTACTTGTAGTGAAATGCACCGTGTGGGTATTCTGAACAGCTGAGACAGTACATCTCAGAACGCACTACTCAGTCGAATGTACAATCTCGTTCAAGATTCTTCGAATATTGCTGGAGAGAGCTGGCAAATCAAGGCCGTTTGTTTACTATAGTGCGTAGTATAATAATCCGAAACAACAAAGCCCAACCATTACATTAAGCAACGGGGAACTAAGTACAGTAACCAATCACTGTCGACAGCAGTGTTCGAAGAATCTTGAACGAGACTACATATCCGGAGCTGGCAGACGCCCGCCCCACAAGGGGTCACAGGCTCACAGCTCAAGGTTGAAGAAGTCAACAAGCCCAGAAAACTGAGGGCAAACTTTTTCGGAGTGAGAGTTGTGAACTCTTGGAACAATCTGCCAGTGTTGTGACGGCACCGAGTGTGAGCTCATTCAAGGCCAGACTTGACCAACACTGGAGCAGGTTCAGATACACTCAGGAGCCGGTGCATTCCTAGTACTTGCCAACAGTGCGTAACAGAGACGTGACCAACTGCCCAAGCGGCTAGCGAGCCAATCAGTCGCGAAGAGGATGAAAGTAAGAGTAAAGTAAAAAGTAGGCGTTGAGATATATCGGTTACGGTCGATCACGTTCAGTGTTAGCCGGGGAAATGTGACACACACATACATAGCATGAGCGATCATGAGTCAGTTTCAGTGTCATTTGTCATATGCCACTTAACCAATGACCAACACTAGTCCCACAACACCAGAGCCAGATGGAGACAGCCTCTGAGAGCAACAGTGGAATGTAAAGTCGTGTCCAGAGGACCTTAAGGGCCCAAGAGGCTAGGTCATTCCTAGGCTGAACGTGTTCAGTCAGGTCATCGAGGCTAGCTTAATTTAACCTCCCGTTAATCTATTTAATCTACTCCTGATGGTGCAGCGGGAGCGCTCTTGCATTTCACCAATACAGCATCTATCGTGTCCCGGGTTCAGTCCCTGGCTCGAGTCAGATTTGAGAGGGATTTCAATCTGTGCCATTCAGTGTGACCCGAAGAAACATTGCAGGCTTTTTTTCCCGGGAACAGGTACTCTGGTTTCCTCCTCAGATTGAAAAAAATCACGAGTTCAGAAAATTGTTATGGCAAACTTTTTTGGAGTGAGTTATAAGCTCTAGGAATAACTTGCCTGAGAGTGTTGTGACGGCACCGAATGTGAACTCATTGAAGACCAGACTTGACCTACACTGGTGGAGATTCAGATACATTGTGTAGCCTTGTACCTGACCGAACGGCCCAAGGGCTAACGTTAGGCTGATGAGTGGCGAAGAGGATAAAGTTCATTAACACTGGACAAGGACTGTCGTTTCACTGTAACAAAGAACAGACCAAACGCCCGAATAATAATAATAATAATAATAATAATTCATAGTAAATAAAATTTATAATAAAAAAATAAATAAATGAAAATTATAAAAAAATAAATAAATGAAAATTATAAAAAAATAATAATAACAACACTAATAATAAAAATAATAAAGAAATACAAAAATTGAAGAAAGATCAAAAGTGAGAAATAATATATGTATGTTGTGTTGTCAATAGTAAGAGAAACAATTGAAACCCTGCAATTGTGTGTAAATGAGGCAGAAAGTCAGATCAGTAACTTGGGACTTGGTCACAATTTTCGTGATGCCATATGGCAGCAGGGTCTACCATTGCTAGTGAGGTCTTCATAAGAAAACGGTTACTTTCGTGGCTGAAAGGAATGAAAAGTGAACTTCGGGCAATATTGCGACAAAGAAAGCTCTCTGCACTGATCTTTAATGTGCCTAAAAAGTGATAAACTTCGTAACTTATAAGTTGATGACATCGTCAATGACTTTGCTCTCCAAATATCACGATAGAGGCTAGCCAACCAATTAGTGGCGAAGAGGATAAATACAGTAAAACAAGTAAAAACGAATCCACTAACATAAATTATGTAAATTACAATGGTGCTTCCACTTAGTAAGTGCTGCTGTTTAATTGCTCGTGTGTTACTGTAGATTAAAAGTTTTCATAAAATCATAAATTATTTTCATATGTATTATTTCATAATGCAACTATTCTTATTGCAAGATGTAAGCTTCAGTTGGGTCAATAGTTTTTTAGTGGCGCCTTCGCTATGTATTCTGAATATGCAAATATAATTATTTGATATTTATGTATAGCATTCATTGTTCCTTCTGTTAGTATAATGCACTTTTTTGATAATGCTATGGGACCTCTTAACCTTGACCATGTCATACTCTGGCCCTGATTGTTTGTATTGCTGCACTATGTATACGTGCTGAATCAGTACGAACTTGTATGGCGATTTACTGAATATCTATCTATCTATCTGGCTGAGTTCTGACTTTTTTTTTATCTAATTTTCCACCTTAACGAATCTCACGTTTGTACTGGAAAACTGTGTTTGGGAGAACAGGTATGTCAGATTAATGTAAGCAGTTTATTAAACGGTATTCAAACCTATAGTCCAATATCGAGTTAGGCACCACCAATATACAGTACATCATGAATTGTGTGATAGCCTTTTTATCACTCTAATTCAGCCCACTGTTACCTTACAAGTGACTATTATCTTTCGGCATTTTTGGTATTCATTGTATCCCTGAAACATCCACTACTTTTTTTATTTTATTTCACGAGTGTATCAAAATTATATACTAGTTATGTATACAGTACTTTGACCTATTTTCTGGTAAACATTTTATTATCATCCCTCGTACAAAAATAATTAAAATTATATCCTAAATATTATACTAATGTTTCCATATAATATAAACCAATAGAATAAACATATGAAAGTAAAGAATAACAGCACATATTAAGAGATATATCACTGAGTTCATATATTAGAGGTTAGTGGCAGTAACCATGTCTCCTGTACGGTACTGCCTCATCAAGTGACTCAGCTGCGCATGCGCTAACAGACGCCATTTCGTTCTGATCTGTGAGAGAGAGTGAGTAAAACAATTAACATTCGTGCTTGATTTCGGCGTAATACGTAATGGATTGGATATTCCTTGAAATGTGGATCTGTTAAATAGTTGAGGTATCAGAAAATGCCCCAGCCCATCATACCAGAGGAACTACAAGAAGAGAAATATTGACGGGAGGTTGTGTTTTGGCTTAGTGGGGAGGTCTTAGGAGGGGGTGGTCCGTCAATTTTAGCCGTATAACTCCTGCAGGGGGTTCACAGATGCGGTAAGAAAGTAAATTAATACATTTTTCGGTAGGTTAAGATTATATTTGTACCTTACTACTGATTATAGTGCTGTACAGTCACCCAGGAAAGGTTCAGTGATAAGGTGTACAAATGGAAGCCCTCGAAACGATTTCCTGTTTAGTATACCATTTTGATGTTTCTTATGAGATGAAACACTTCTCTATTGGTCATCCCAGAGCTGTGTATGTATTACTGTTGATGAGAGATATCTTAACTCTGGGGTTTGAGTTTTGGTTGATTGTGAGTGGTGAAGTTAATTGTGACAGGTGAATTCTTGAACCAGGCTGTCAAGATGGTTATGTTACAATTACCAGATTTTTTTATATGATCTTCAGAAAATATGTGTCATTATGATTAGTTATTTATATTGAGGTAAGAGAAATGTTGCACTGTGTTCATGGGCAGTGACTCTCCTTGGTCCAAGTATTATTAGTGAAGCTGCTGTCAGCTGGTGAAGTAAATTGTTGGGAAGTAAGAAAGTCAATACTGGTTGTTAAGGGAGACATAGTGTTTTATGTAGTGGAGTTATTACTTGATGATCTTTCTTCATGGGAAACCTAAGTTGAGAAATTAATAGATTACTTACTATTGTTTTGAAACAAAAGCAAAGATGAAATATGAAATAAGCATCCTATATATATATATATATATATATATATATATATATATATATATATATATATATATATATATATATATATATATATATATATATATATATATATATATATCACACGGGAAAATGGAAACAATTGAGTACCTTAGCTTTCGTCTTTATTCAAGACATCTTCAGAGTTGCCTCTGAAGATGTCTTGAATAAAGACGAAAGCTAAGGTACTCCGTTGTTTCCATTTTCCCGTGTGATTTTATCAAGATTTATCTTATCCACGTTTTCATTGTGGATTTACATGATATATATATATATATATATATATATGCTGAGGTATATATTACTCTAGGTATTATTTTAGTTTTGGTCATCCAGGGAATCTTAAGAATTTAGGTTAGGTTAGGCTAGATCAAAATCATTCAAAAACCGCCAGAAAAAACTAGAGTTGGCAAAAACTAAAATTTTACCTTACTCTACAAAGGGTGATATGTTTTCCAGGTTTTTGTTTTGTAACTAAATTTTGGTATTGTTACTGTACTGTGTGTGTGAAGTTATTTCCAACGTTGTTGTCCATTAGGCATATCTTGTGATCAAGGACTGTTACTTCTGTCAGTTAATGGACAATGAATTTTTCTTTTGATTTCTTAAAAAGACGTTTGTTTTCCATATTTGTTATAATTGATATACTCTGTACATCTAGTGGTAGAGTATGGAGAAATAGCCTGAATATAAGAGCTGGTAAGCAGGCTGTGTATCTGGGTACCCAGGCTAAGTGTATAATACAGTACAGCTTCTGTACAGTATTATTGTTGACTAATTCTAAACCTCACTGTGTTTATTACATTTTTATTGAGTTTTATAGTTCTGTGTATGATTCTGCCTCTGTTAATTTTTTTTTTAATTAATTAGGAGTGAAGGTTTGGTTAAGTTAGATTAGATATAGTTCCCTTTCAAGTTATCATAAACGTTACATAAATCTGGTGGAATCAGGATAAAGTACCCAGCTACACAAGCTCTTCCAAATCTGTTAGGTTAGGTTGGGTTTGTTTTGCTTGTTTTAAGAGAAGTGCACCACAAGATAGCACATTTGCCTTGGTGGAATAAGAGAGAGAGAGAGTATTATAACTACTGGTGGCAAAGATTCTATTCATGTGTTCATTTTGGATATGTAAAAATAAGTACAGTACTCCCCTTATTTACATATGCACGCATTTGGTTGGTTACTGTGAGAAGACAGACCACAATGTAAAGGAGATTGGCCAATTTACAGCATCATCACCATTTTAATGCTCTTTTAAATAGAGCTACTGTACTTGTTTATCATTGAGGGCAAAGAAAATGAAATCTACATTGTCAGATTGTGTCCCGTACCTGTTGTGAAGTGAAAGAAGAAAAAGCTTTCTCTTAAAGGCTCTATAGAATTTAAGGAGCGATGATAGACAGTGATCAGATGAGATAAGTGCAGGAATTACTTGAAGGCAGTGGACCGTATATTTGTCTGGTCACAGATCCTAATTTACTTCTGCTGTTTGTCTGGCTTTTTTTCCGATGAGTTAAGGCTGATGACAGCATATGCTGGCATTCATGCTGGTTGGTGGAGGCTAATGACATCATTGTCTGGCATTTGTTCTGATTGATGGAGGCTGATGATGTCATTGTCTGGCATTCCTTCTATATATACAAATAAAATTGCAGTATCCAGTTAACTTCAATGCACACAAAATATTAATACCCTGTACAGTACAGCATCAATTTTTCACAGATACTGGAAAATTCCAGATACAGTACTATTAGAGAGTTTCACCTAATTGGGATTCTGGTTAACGGAGATAAACTATTACTTTATTTCCAACAATATCCAAGAAAGGGTGTAGCTACTGACTGTCTTAATTTATCTTATGTTTCGTATCATGAATGACACAATACATTGAGTGCTGTAGTTGAGTTTGATATGATACAGGTTTCTCGGGCTTAATCATAACTGCACAGGGAAAAGAATTAAAAATCAGTGTTGTCATCAGATTCCTGTATTGACAATGAGAATTAAATGGCTAAGATTACAATGTCCAAGCTTCCATCCAATACAGGGATTATTAGTGACCATGCCAGCACAGTGCACCAGAAACAATTAGTCTAGATCTATTTAGGGTTTAAATTTGGTGATGATAGCCACAAAAACCTCAGACACTTTTTCCTCTCATATACCTAACCATAGACAGACTGATTGTAGGCCTCAAGTCCCTTTTTTAAACCTCTTAAAGTTGTCAGCAGTAAGAGGAATCTGAAAACACAAGATAAATTACACTTGTCTGTGTTACAGGAGGAATATTTTTTATTCTCTTGTCCTACTTTGGTATTATGCAACACCTTCATTGTTCCAAGGGACCCAAGTGTTCTTGGTGTGATGAAATGTTGCCCATCATTACTTTGCTGACTGTGTAGGTCTGTAGGGAAAGAAATATTGATAATGTGACTTGTTAGTAAACTGTATATACAAGAGATACACCATCTGTGTCCACGGTGGTTGTCAAGCTTTGGTGCCATAAAAGTTTAACCCTTTCACTATGGGGACGCCACTTTTAATATTATTTGGTTAACGCCAGACAATTTTATTAAGGTCAGGGGTGACACCGTACACAAAAGGTTAATGTGATTGCAATGCTTCTTTGTTTTGGTTTGTTGGTTATTCAGACATTATTTATGTATTATTATTTATGAGTACAGTATTCCCTTAAAGCTCGCTGGGATTAGGTAAAATGGACCCCTTGAGAAAGCAAAATCTGCGAGTTTTTCATGCCAGTCTCAGGAGTGCAAAATATATATACAGCTCCTCCCCGACTTACTACCTTACTTGACTTACGATCACCCGCACTTACGACCTGCCTCAGCCGTACCAAAATTTTGTCAAATTACGTATTTTCGAGTCCCAACGTCGGTGATTGCGCTGTGTACTGACTAAATTTTCGTTTGTAATTCACTTTAAAATGGCTGGCAAGCTTAAAAGTGAGAGTTTTGTGGTGCTGAAAAGAAAAAGAGACACCCATTTTAGATTTTCTATGTATTATTTAAGCATTTTTGACTTATGACCTGGATTTTGGTCCCTAACCCCGTCGTAAGTCGGGGAGGAGATGTAAATAGCTATATGCACACGTATAACAACACTATGTACTGCATGCATAAGACAATATAATAAATATGAAAAAAAAAAAAAAATAAACATGAAATAACACTGTATGGACATTAGGTCCACACAGTGTAGTTGTGGTGGTGAGACACATGATAGCATATAGCCAGAGATTTGGCTTTACCAGTACAGTAGGCTATTAAATCTGCTAAAGTCTTTTTCCAAAATATACCTTGTTAATTATAGGGTGCATCTTATGACCTGGGAAATATGGTGGTCTGTACCATCCTGTAGTGTTGACTCACCTTGATACCTGGCACACAGTCTCAGATTTATTTTATTTATTTTCCATGGTAATCCGTGAGTTTCCGAGGGACGCAAGGTTTAAAATCGAGAGCTTTAAGGGAATACTGTACATAGGTCACCTGGGATGTAATGGTTTGCATACTCAGCTTGCAATGGAGGGATCCTGGGTTGGATCCCCTTGAAGGGTGAAACTATGAGCCAGTTTCTTTATGCCATTTCGCCTGGACTACCTAGTAGTAATCAGTTGGTGGATTGTGTTCCAGGGTAATGGTTAGCCAATGCAGCTCGCACAGTGTACAGTCTTATTAGATAATTCCTTGACATTGGATCATACAAATCATTAATTCAGGGTTTGGTTGTTGTGTCTGTAACATTTCAACACCTGAAAAAGATTAATGCGTAAGTGGCCTTAAACATTAGGGGCATTAATTACTGTATGTCATTATCATGCAGACCTAGAGTCACCTAACACAGACAGCAAGATATTGGATAGGTATACGCAGATATTTTGTTTGACTCGTTATATTGTGAGTGAGGATTTTGCTATTATCTTAATACTGTACTGTACTGTGCTAACTCAAACCGGGTATCACAAAAGTATTCCTCAGTGGAAAGCTTTTATGCATGTGACATCTGTCTTAATCTTTGTCGAATTTTAGTACTTTACTATACAGGGGACCCCCAGGTTTGCGGATTTTTATTTCGCGGCCCTCTATTATTCGCGGATGACACCCTGGATGTACCCAAGAATGTCTGTGGGTAGTTTTAAAGTTGCCGATATTTTTGCGGCTGGGGCAGGGAGCCATTTGTTCTAGAGACAGTAATTTCCTTTACCTGTATTGTAAATATGTGTGCGTGTGTAGACACACACACAAAACACATACAAATAAATAATTATTGGAAAATCGTCTCACAAATACTGTAATCAGAAACAAATTTATTAAAAATGTGACAATCTACCCTCAAGTCCATGCTTTATAACTTTATGACTAAAGCAATATACTGTACTATTGTGTAACCTGAAAATGGTTAGTTTTATATGTCAAAATGTAAATATTAGCTCCATTTTTATGATACCGTACACTATTTTTGTTTGTAGCTCATGGTGAATATCAGCTTCTCATGTAATTATCATCTTTGTATAGAAGCTAATCACTAATTGATATGAATTTTCAGATGCAAGTTGTGTGGTGAGTGATGTAACCTGAAGGTGAACGTAGCCGCTGCGTTAGCCTCGGCTGCCTCGTCCCAAAGATGGCCACTCTCTCTCGGCCTGGGAGCCTCCGTAATCCTGAGGTGGCTGACTTGTTTGAGCGAGAGGACCCGGAGAGATTATTTGATGACCTACGTGAAATTGGCCATGGCAGTTTTGGAGCAGTATATTATGCACGCCATGTCTCGTCAAAAGAGGTATTTTTTTTTTTTTTCAATTGTCTAAGGTTACCTAAAATGATTCTCGCAGCTAGGGCATTAATCTGATTATTGTACAGTACTACAGTGAAACCTCTTTTTAATCATCTATATATATGGAGATGGAGGTCTGTTAAATTGAGGGTCCATTAGATGTGAAACATGAATCTATGATTCTGATGTGACAAATAAGAGCTAACTGCTCATTCCAGCACAGTGTGGATTGTGTTCACAAATCCATGAACCAGTGCACAGCCCAGTCTAGGACATATTGCAGCAGGGGGACCAAATCTTTGCAGTCATGGTGCAGTGTGTTTGGATATGCATTGTTCCAGTGGTTCATTGCTTTGATTCTCACATTGGAGTGATTAAGCCAGTATGTAGGATACTCAAGGTTTACTGTGTACTTTTCTCTGATTTGCTGTGACAGCCAGTTACCATAAGTTAAATTGTAGCAATGGGGAACACAAGTAGATGCAGCAGAGGCAGATCTGGGGGGGGGACCCCCACTTTTCACCAGAAAATTCCAATACTTTTTTCTTTAAAGCAGTATTTTACTGAGGCATCTTTGTGTAGGAAAAAGTAATTACTTTTGACCTCAGAATATCTCCTAATATCAAGTGCACATGGCTTCAAAATGCTCATGATATTGGTCAGATTTCCGAAATTTTTCTGGGGGACTTACAGTGCCCCCCCCTCCCCTCCCTAGCTGGGTGGGCTCGCTGTGCTCACCATGTTCCCCTACCCACAACTTCTTTGACCCCCCCTTTTAATACTCCTGGATCTGCCCCTGTGTAGTACTCTTTCTCTCTAAATCTAGGTTACTCTACACATCTTGTTAGCCCATTGTAGGTGAGAGTACAGTACGTGTAGTTGTAAAGCTCTATTCTGAGAAAGGCATCTTGCAGGATTAAACAAGATGTTCACTTTATATACATTTGGTTTTCTTAGCAGTTCTGTGCTCTAGTGTTTCAGGGATGAAGATCTCTAAGACTTTACTGCCCAGGTCTTGAGCCTGGATACAATATACTCTTTCATAGGCTTATTATGAGCATGGAACAGTATTTGATTATATAATGATAAAATGTAGGTGGATAGTCTTTGATTACCTCAGAGTCTTGCTAGCTGTTCCCACCCTGTGGATTGGCATTAGAAAGGGCATCCAGCCATAAAACTATGTTTTAGTGTGCTTGATGGCAACCCAGAGCTTTGCCCATCCTCTGGCCTTGCAATAGTGGGCAGGGGGGATCCCATTCTGGTTTTTCCCAACAGCTGCAATCAGGTAATTGCGGCTAGTACACACAAGTGTGGAAAATGGGCATAAAGCATTGGTGAATATGATGATGTAAGTATTCTTTATTTAACATTCTTAATCATTATTCACAATTTGTGTATTATTTAATGTTATCGATTTCAAATCTGATTTTAAGAAATGTGTTTAATTGTTCCCTTTTAGGTGGTGGCAATTAAGAAAATGTCATATAATGGAAAACAAAGTGCAGAGAAGTGGCAAGACATTCTAAAAGAAATTAGATTCCTACGCAGTCTCCGTCACCCCAACACTGTTACCTATAAGGGTTGCTACTTAAAGGAATCAACAGTATGGGTAAGTTCAAATAACTGTTACAAATAGAATTATTCTTATTTGTTCTTTTGCAGTGTAACTTCTTTAAAATCATCATGAAACAAACTTGTGTATTACACTATTCACTAGTTTTAGGGCTTTTACTACTTGTTGGTAGACTGCTGGAAGGGTACTGGTATATGGGCTAATGCCCTGAAGTTTGTGACAGTTCAGCCATTCACCATTGGAGTTACAGATCATATGAGTGCTTGTTTTTCATTATTTTGTTACCTTCAAAACCATTAAAAAATAGGATATTTGAGCTTGTACCAATATGTTTAGGATATGGGGATGAAAATGGTTGCTTTTGACGTAGTCCTTACTGATCACATTGAATTAACCCCAAGGCTTCAGGTCATGTCATATGACGTTTTGATCTTTTACTCACACATGAGCCACCCAGTCTCTTCTCAGCTTCTGTGAAGTACCTAGGAGTCTTGCCCATGCACCTGACTCACTTCACCATGTGTTTCTACCCCCCCTCCCCCCCAGCTCATGTCTAGTATTGTGATAAATTACTGGAGTAGTAATAATTATTATTAATAGTGTAAATAGTAATAATATAGTAACACAAGTGTCCTTTACTTCATACTGCCTATAAATTACGTAGTGTTGTTTACTTGGTAATATTGTGTCACTCATGCCACTTCACGAACATTAACTCTTCCTAGCTCATGTTGCTAACCTGTGGTAAGGACATACCGTAGTATTTATTTCCTGTTTATATCAAGCACGACCAGTTTGTAAGACTAGAATTGTTTTTTATTTGTTTTTTAAATGTTCCTGAATATACCCGCGTGGGAGGGGATGCCGACCATAGCCCGAAGCCCAGGAGCTAAAGGTGGTTTGAGGTCTTGGCATTGTCATTATTTGTACTGGACTTGCACCATTGTGTTGAGAAACTAAATAAAGAAAGACTTAAGATTTGTATTGGTAGCTAGCAGGGAGTTATATGAAAAGTATGATCAAAATGTGTGATTTAGCCGGTACTCGAATTAGTGGAGGCCGAGTTAGTGAGACTAGTGTACTGTAATTCCATATACTGTATCTACAGTCTGTATTTTTCTTCTGGTGGGTAAATTATTTGAAATATGGGGATATTATTGTTCAGTGGGAGACTTAAGGTTTGGGATGACAGACATACAACCCATTGGAGACTAAAGTAAAGAATCACTATCTTGTCTTTTACAGTTGGTAATGGAGTACTGCTTAGGTTCAGCCTCAGACATCATTGAAGTACACCGACAGCCTCTACGAGAAGAGGAAATCAGTGCCATCTGTGAAGGCTGCCTTCAGGGTCTCTCATATTTGCATTCCTTAGGAAAAATTCACCGTGATGTAAAAGCTGGCAACATTCTTCTTACTGAAAATGGCACAGTCAAACTAGGTAAGTTTTCTGTAAAGTGAATTTTCAAATGTATTATTGCAGGTACAGTAATAAGTTTTGTTTATTTATTTCATCTTGGTTTTCTGACATTTCATAATTATGGCAGTGATAGATCACTATTGGAAGTATGGTGAAAGAAGATTAGTATGCAGTTAAAAAAGGGTTGGGAACCCTGCCATTATCAGCTAATTTAGTTTATTTACTGTACACTATATGTGTTGTTTAGTTTGTTGAGAAAGGACCAGGAACAAAACATTAGGGCAAGTGTGAAAATCAAAGCCCTTGGGGGAAAATCAGGCATTTTGGGTGATGAAACTAAGAGTATTGATATTTACCAAGAACATTGAAAGTGCTCTCTGCCTAGTTTCTGTGTGTAACTGTAAGAAGATGAAAACAAGTTCCCATGGGATCAAATTTTCTGTGGAAGATACAAAGGAGACCAATGAGGTAGTGAATTCGTGCTTCACTGGGGATTCAGAATTTGGTGTTTCAGAGCCATAAAAATTGATGCTAAAAATGACTGTGACAGAAAAATTCTCCTCTCCTGAGAACATTGTTATCAAGGGCATTATTGAAAAGAATAAATGAACTAAAGAATGACTGAGAAAGGCTGTTTATTTTTCCTTTGCCTTAAAAATGTCAGAGGCACAAGCAAATTTGCATTGCTGAAAAGCTGTCTCTTGAAGTTTGTATCCATGTTGATAAAAAGGTTGAATGCAGATTCTCAGTGAATTATATTACTGTTGTTCAAAGTTTAATTGGCATATTACATCACAATGTCCAAAGATGGATGAATGACCAACTTGTGTCTTCTGTGTTGGAACCCCTGCCCTTCCCTTGATATGCCTCATGAATTGGTTAACCATTTTGCTTTTAGCAGTGTCCTGTGGTGATCTTTCTGCATCTGGGGGTGATTGAGTCAGATAATAACAATGAGTTGCTCTTCCCAAGACACATTCATTATTGTGTGTTCCCAGATACTCAGGAACAGGAACAAAGGGGTGGTGGAATGGCATTGATGTATTCCCTGGCCTTATCAAACACTGGGTAAGTACTTGACCTGATGACTTAATTGTGTCTTCCTTTGAGTCTATGGAAGTTGCCATTAACCTTCACCACCAAATTGTTAACTTAAGAGTGGTCATGGCACTGACTGAAAGTTTGTAGAACAATTAGTTCTTTCCCTGAGTCTTTTAAAATAAAAATAGGAAACTGTTTATAACTTCAAATAATTTGTTTGGACCTTTGTTCAAGCCCAGTTCTACTGAGTTTCTGGAGTTGATAGATCTCGACAACTTTTTAAATCGTGTCTGTTGCCATGGAAGTCTCGAGTCGTAGCTTAGACCTAGTTTTATCTTAGGGTGACTTTCTTGTGAGGACGTAGTCCTGTAATCTTAAGCAGCTTCAGAAGAGTGAAATCAGGAGAGGAAACTAAATCCTTTACAGTTCAACCATAAACATTTCTCTCTCTTGCGATGTTGACAGACTGTATCATATCATTTCCCTCATTTCAAGTGGTTTGAACAATCAGACCTGGAGAGAGAGAGAAAAAACGATACCATGCCGAAGCCTACATGGGAGGCTTAGCTTTTTGAAATGAAGTCATGTGATTAGTCGGAATATCCTGTTAAACTGGAATTTTCAACTTTTTGAAAGTCTGTTTTATGTGGGGCTGCAGTGTGGGTAGTAGGTGGAGTTCATGTGTTCCTGGACGGGGTTTGACTAAGCTAGTTCCCACCCAGGAGGTAAACAGTGGAAAGAAATCTTATTTCTTCATTAGAGCTTTACTATGTGTGCATCATTATCACCAGTTAGATTCATTTGAATGAATTAAGTTAAAGGCAAAGTCTGAGTGGTTTTGGGAGTCTACAGGCCTTGGCAGAAAGATGAAGGATATCAGACGGTAAAACTTGGGTACTAAATTTTGTATGATAATATGTTTTGTATTGTAACTTCCCAGATTAGCTCTTTTGGGAAGTCCCTTTAATCCTTTAAATTATTATCACCCCCTCCCCCCATCACTGCTTCCTTTCTCCTTGTCCCCTTGCACTCTACCAGTGGATTGTCATTTCTCTTATGCAATACCCATATAAGTAATTTAAGGCAATGAACTCGTATATAAAGCATACGGGTATATTGTTGCAAGTTCCATTCTTGAATTTCCAGTTACAAATAAAAATTGAGGTACAGTCTTTTGAACATCCAGTCCCAGTAAAATAACTTCATCGTCCCCATTTGTTATTCATTTTGATAGGGCATATTTTTGCCAGAGCGGTGTGTTCAGTTGAACACAGTGTTTTGTTTTATAATGTACCGTATAGGTTTACTGTGTAAACACTGTGTCGTGAATGATCACTTCTCACTATGAAAATACATAGTGTTAGGATCACCTCGTCTTAAAACCTGCACGTTGAAAACTGGTGAGGAAAATAGCACAATTGTTATTGGCTGCAGACAACTGTAATTAAACTTGAGAGATGTTAAGTTTACAGTAGGGTTGTTTGACTATTTGATCCATGTGCCTTTTAAAGCATCAGTTGGATCATGGTTGAGCTAATGTTTCCAGACCCTGATTTATGGCAACTGTTACCTGAACCCTTTAAAATGCTTTCCTCTGCCTAAGAAGTCATATAACCCTATGCATTCAATCATTTGTTTTTTCTCTGTATTTCTGTAAACAGGACGATGTTTTTTACTACAATACTTGTTTCATTTATATTTGGTACATTAAAAACTTTCATGACACATCAAGTGGGATTTTAGTGTGATTAGAACTGGTGAATTAGCATCTGTTTTTAATTTGTGGAATTTCCATAGACTGTGACTATTGGGACACTGTTAAGGAATATATATTTCTGTGCAACTATTAACTATCCTTTTTTTTTATACATTCACAGCCTACAATGGTAAACTGTCATGTTGTTAATTATGTTTATTGACTCATTTTATAATTGGTATTTTTAAACAATTGTTCTTATATAAGATGATTCACACAACTTTTGCTCATCTCTTAAGTTGCTATTTGTTTGGTTGTACAATTGGGATTTCTCAGTTACTAAAATACCAAGCACCTCATGTGGTACTTTATGACTTGATCATGTTATGTATATATTTAGGATCGGTACTTTTATGTGTTTACAAAGTTACATTCACCCAATCCTTTCATACACTATCCTCATTACTTTCTCACATACTGCTTCAAACTATGTCATTACTGTAGATATTTCCAGACTTTCTTGGCTCATTCTAGGGATTTCTACCTTATGCTGTCATCTTCATTGATTCTTTGTCCCCATTATAACTATCCATTTAATTCTTGTAGTTCAGGGGATTCCTTGCTGAATAGTGATGGTAGGTCAGGTCTCGGGGACGTTCACTGTATTTTATTGTATATTTTCTTTGCAGCGGATTTTGGTAGTGCAAGTATTGCATCTCCTGCCAATAGTTTTGTCGGAACACCATACTGGATGGCTCCTGAGGTCATTTTGGCTATGGATGAAGGACAGTATGATGGAAAGGTGAGGTTTTGTGTTGATGTAATCCAGCATTAGGCATTAGTACAGTTTTTTGGAAAGATATTTTGTATGTATTTAACAAGGCTAAAAATGTCAGTCTTATTCACCCATGGAAAAATTATTGTTCTCTCACAAAACATCTACTTCCCTCGCATTTAAAGTTTATTCCATTCCATTCTCTGTTTATTTACTCGTCGGTCTCTTTTTTTTTTTTTTTTGTATGCTGGATCAAGACGTATAGGATCCTCAAAGAAAGGGGAATAATAGTGATAATGGTGCACGTCAAGTGTGGAAGGTGGCAGAAAAGGAGCTAAGACAACATAAATATCTTGTCTTGCTATTCAGTTTGTATATGCTGTATACAAAGTGAATCCTTGTGTGCACCTCTATTATTATTATTAAAGTATTAATATTATTATTGGCATCAAGTATAAAATTACTCTACTGTTCATAATCCACAATCATTCTTTGGACTTTATCTAATTTGTCACTTGTAAATCTCACTGACTCCCATGTACAGTATAGTCCATCTCTCTCTCTCTCTATGGTGGTCTCATTTTCATAAATTTTACTAATCCTTATTTTCTTGTTATATCTTAATACCTTTCTCAATGAAATTTTCAAACAACCATAATATTTCTCAAAGTAACCATAATTCTTTCTCACAGTCTTGATCTGTGATTACAGGACCACTTCTATACACCAGAATTCTCTCTTTTTGTACTCTCTGGGGTGCTTCAGAAAATCCAGCATCAGTCTGGATGGTTTGTGTGTTTGTATGTGCGGTTGAATGTCTGTGTGGGTGTATCACTCGGCACATGTATAGTACTGTATACCCAATATTGGTGTGCTACAACACCCTTTCTTCCCACGTCCATGTACTGGGTGGAGTGAGCCAGCACGTACCCGACCACAATAATAACAAACACCAGACTGACCAAGCGTGGAGCACAGTGCAGCAAGTGTTAACCATGTGGTCAAATATGTTTCATGGGAAGAAAATGTGGGAGATATTTTGAATCCAACAGGAAGAGGCAAGTTAGAGGCATTAAGGCTCAAGAACAATATTTGTTTTGAATAAATCCAGAAATAATGAGAAATTGAAGTGAATGAAACATCACATGGAACTGAGGAGGGTTTGCTTAGGTATTAGACACATACGGTAGTGAGAAAATAGAAGGCGAACGATGGGTCAAAGAGTGTACGATACACACAATTGGAGGGAGGGGGAAGACCAAGGAGTTGTGCTAAAGTGGGGTGGTGGACATGTGGGATGCAGCACTTTGTGTAAAAGGTCAAAGAATATGGTGTTAATTTGTCTTTGTAGATGGGTGTGCTTGTGATGGGTTATACCAGGTGGTGAGAAGTGACACTAATAAACTAGACACCGTAGATATCTAGGGGACTTGTTTAGAAATAGGACATGTAAATAAACTGCTGTGAAGAAAATAATTTTAATAATCTTGACCATGATGAATCAGTTTGTCTCAGTATATATGTTGTGGATTATTTATCGTACAATATTAATATATATATATATATCCACGATGATGAAATCTATCAAATTTTATTATTTTAAACAGGTGGATGTATGGTCCCTAGGCATCACATGCATAGAACTGGCCGAGCGCAAACCGCCCTACTTCAACATGAATGCCATGAGTGCCTTGTACCACATTGCCCAAAATGATGCCCCAAAAATGTCTGCTCCAGAGTGGTCAAAAGATTTCCAACACTTTGTTGAGTCTTGCCTTCAGAAATCTCCACCAGATCGACCTACCTCGGCCAGGCTCCTCTCTGTAAGTACTGTACTGTATTGAACATCTAGAATGAGGATGTTTTGTTATCGTGTTTTGGCCTTGGTATTTGTTACATTCTGTATGTTCAGATTGGCAATATGATAATATTTACTTAGAGAAAGATTTGTAATCGTCATGATGAATGAATGTAGTTTAAGATTTAATTGTGTCTAAATAATATTAATTTCTTTATAATATATTTGGTACATTTCACTAACGAGTCACTCTTACTCTGCAGCACGAGTTCATTTTGAGACATCGGTCACCTCACATCATCTTGGATCTAATTGCTCGTACCAAGAAAGCCGTTCGTGAGTTTGATAATCTGAACTATCGAAAAATGAAAAAAATCCTCCTGTACGAAACGGAGAGCCAGCAGGGGGACGTAGAAGGTGAGCCTGAAGGTATAAATACTTGGAGATTTGTACTGTCTGTTTATATATTTATGAAGATTATCTTATCTGTCTTGTAGTTATTTAAAGGAGTATACAGATGAAGCTCAGGGAAAACTGTATTTTAATTTTCAGTGATTTTGCTGTACCTATGCACGAAGCATGTGTGTCATTTTTAGGGTAATTGATTTGTGTTTCTTCCAAACTCTTCCATTTTATTTTCTTGAATTATCAAGAAATTAGAAATTTAAATTATATTTATTTCTGTTAGATAAAGCAGCTATAATTAAGGAAGTGCTATATTTTTTCTTAGGGAATTTAGACATATAAAACTGAAATTTGAAAATCTGTGGATAGTGTACTTTTAAAATTTGTATGAATCAATTCACTAATTTGCTAAAACTTAATATTGGTTTTGAAATACACATTTGATATAAGTGTTGCCAATGGGAGTAATAGTAATGTAGATGTATTTTCTTAATTGTGTTTGATATTTATTACAAGTAAGTGAATATGAAATGCATGATGTAAATTAAACTTTAGATTCATATGGTGGCTTTTTAATTTGTATGTTGCATATCTAGAGCATTGTTTAATGGAAATTTTATAAGGTGTGATTTATTTGTTTAAGAGAAAGAGTTAGCATTCCTTTGTAAAAATTTACTGATGGTTGTAAACTGTTTCATGCAACTCGGTACCTCCATTTCCCCTCCCCTCGAGACCCTGTTACGGGTCGAGTGCGGGTCCCCTCTTGGCATTCCATCCTGGGTAAGATGCTAGATTGCACAAGTTCAGCTGGGCGGGAAAAAACTGGCTCAATTAACATTTGTGATGGGTTATATAAACAGCATGATTGGTAGTCAACTGGGCAGTGTTGTTAATTTAGATTTAACTTTCGTATCAGGTTCTTACTACACCTGTTAAGAAAAATTAAATCCTACTCATTTTAAAATATTGAAAATAGAAAAAAATTTTATCTTCATAATAATTTGATTCACCAACAATCCATAATACTTCAGTTCTTATTAAAACATACTGTAACCTCTTTAATGGATTTTGAAGTAAGGTCACATAATATAAAAGTTACTGCTGGAAAGGTCTTATCAATGCATTTATTTTGAACATTGTTTTCATTTTGTCTCGTGACTTCTTGTTTTACTCCTAGGTCACCCATGGTGTGATGCCAGTTTGATCTTCCAAGAATTTTGGTTAGTGACATGTCCAAATTTTAAAGACCAGCATAAGAAAGCAGTCGTACTTTTTTCCACATACTGTATGTGATAGAGGCCTATTCACTGATGTGCAGCCAATCAAGAGTAGGTTTACAAGATATAATTCACTTGTTTGAGGTGATATGCTCTAAGTATTGTTTAAAAACCTTTCTTGGAATACATTATAGCAGTGCCAGCTGATTAAACTAGATTTCTGTGGTCAAATCTCTATAAAGTACAGTATGGTATCAAAACCCCTCCTATGCTTATCAAAGAAACCTACTTCAATTTCTTGGTTTTGATATTAAAGCAAAAGGACTTTTACGTTATCTGTGTATGATTCATAATTTATTTGTAATGCTCATTTCAATTACAAATTTGTCCAAGAAAATGGCCTTCCAGTAATCATTGATGGTTGTGAGTAGCAGACAACAATTGATGATTTATGAGAAATGGTTTATGTTTCTTTTGAGATGGAGCATTGCTGATTATAATTCTTTGGGCCAGTTTGTCCCGTCCACTGCTGATGCTTGATAATCACACTGGCCACATGCCTCACTTAGAGTACCTGGCTCTGCATATGTGAGGAGTACACAAAATTACACCCAGTGCCTTACATCTTACTGTATATTTGTGTAAGTTTATTCAATCAATGAATGAAACATATTGGGCAAGGATAGTTGTACATAATCATAATTGTAAAAAGATTAAGTTAAATATGAGTTGCCTGTATTTCTTGAATAAAGTGTGAGATTAGTATATGAAAACATGGAAAATATGACAACAATTATAATGAGGATTGAAATGCATGTCTAATGTAGTTAGTTAAGTTCAAGGGTTGTTTGGTAAAGAGGTGAGTAAAGTACTTCATTTTGTTAATGTGTAAGCATTAAGGACGATATTTCATTTAGAAAGTATGGCAAAGGTTCAGGTAACAGAATGCACTACATTAAGACTTCACACTATTAGACGAATTCAAGTTGAAACCAAGTCATTAATTCAAATTAGTCTGCCTTTGGTAGCAACAATAGTAAATTATTATACCCTACAGTACTGTTCTGTCAACTGTAATGGCTACCTGTAGTTTGGTGTTAAGGCTAATGATGTGGGCATAATTCTTTAGAAACAGTATTTATAATGGATATACTAAAACCTTGATGCAGTAACATTACATTATGAAATGGCTCACACAATGCTCATATCACTCAAAGTAATGATGTAATTCTATACTTATCTAAGAAGAAGGGTTACATCATAAGACCTTGTACGGTGGCAAAAATAAGAACCAGAGTGTAGGGCATCAATCATACCTAGCAAGGCCTGTAGCCAACGAGAGTCCGTGTATTCTACTATTAACAGGTTGTGAGATATATTAAGGCATATAGTTTGGGGAGTGCTCTGGTTGGTGGAGGAGAGTGTATGGTTGTCACAGGGTGAAGAGGTGTGATTTTTTTTTTAATATATACAGGAATTAGCCCACACAGGTCACTGACCCACATCGGGACCTGGGGGGCGAAAATGTAGTAATAATAATAATAATACTGTAGTAATAATAATAATACTGTAATAATAATACTGTAAAAATAATTCATAGTAAATAAAATTTATAATATGGCACGAAATACAAAATTGAAAATAAAATACTACTGATAATAATATTAAGAGAAACAATTGAGACCCTGCAATTGTGTGTAAATGAGGCAGAAAGTCAAATCAGCAACCTGGGACTTGATCACAATTTTCGTGATGCCATATGACAGCAGCGTCTACCATTAGACAACACATTATGCTTTCAATATCTTCCCAGGCGGTAGTACCTCCCTGTTTGGTAGCTGCCTACTACATCAAATAATGCTGAGGGGATTGTCAGATTGGTATAAGTCTTGTGGGGTTGTCAAGTCACTGAAAGACCTGTACAAGTGGTTTGGTGATAGTGATAGAGGAAAGTGTTGGTGATCTAGATGATTGGTGTTGGTGTTGATGTAAATGGTTGGTGGTGGTATTGATGTAAATGGTTGATGGTGTAGATGGTTGGTGGTGTTAGGGGTTTGTGGTACAAATGGTTGGTGGTTCTGATGGTTAGTGACATTCTTAGTGCAATTTGTTTATGGTTCAGATGTAAAATAAATTTTTCAGGGATGCAAAGTGGGGGGGGGGGTCTGCTTCAGTTGTTTATTCATAGATACATTTCAGTTTTGATTTATGAACACACCTTAGCATATAGATTGCTTTCATTTCTCTGGATTCACACATAAAAAATTGACATTTTACCACTCTTGTATTTGTCATTTCTCTGTATTTATGGCATCATGGGAAGACCCCTTGTGCACCATGTGAAGGAAGCAAGGCCTTTACCAAAGCACTTTATTGCTGTACAAGAATTGTTGAGCTTTTAAAGGGTCATAGCCACTTAACCCAACCTGGTTCCTGGTGAGCCAATAAAAGAGCACGGTTAACAGCATAACTTCCGACCTTATTGAAGACTGGTTTGTGAGTTGTTTTATTTTTTGGGAATGAAATTTGAGTTAAGAACTGGAGAGTAAAGGCTGCAAGAGACCTTACAGCATGGAGAGCTGCCATCAGGGAATCACAGCTAATCCCTGCTAGCATGGAAAATGACCATAAGATGTTGAAGATCATGGTGATTGATAAGGGAGTGATGGCAGCATTTGAAATACTGTATACCATCTACGGTTGACATTACTGTGTCTCATTTGCTTGAAGCAACTTCTGGGCCAAATACTGGTAGTTCTTTACACTTGCCTAAACCTAACGCCAGCCCCTCCTTTAACAGAAAAACAATTTAATAGTGGTAGACTATATACTCAGTTTCATATAATAGAGATTATGGAATTTAGTTATTCATATACTGTAATATTATTGCATTACTGACTGTAGTGCAGTACAGTAATTTAAAAATATAACATAAAAGTGCTTAGTATCAAAGAAAAAGTATTAAATATCCAAAAATTTGATAAGGAAACCCTGACCAAGAATTTGGATTTCCTGATAATCAAGTGTACCATATAAAATGTGCATTATGATGGCCGAGAAACTGTGACATCATTAATGTATTACAGTGGTCCCTCGGTTAACGAGCACAATCCGTTCTAGAAGGTTGCTCGTTAACTGAAACCATTGTTTCAATGGGTTTTTGGGTAATTGGTTCCAGCTCACCGAAAATTGCCTAAATTCAACAAAAAAGGTAGAAAAGTTCACTTACTTTGAGGTGTGTATGTAGAAGGCTCCTGGATGATGATGATGATGATGATGGGAATTAGAATGGGGGTGGAGGAGAAGGGAGAAGAGAAGGCATTGGGGAGGAAGAGAGGTCACCCCATGGTGCCATTTCACCCATAAAATTTTAGTTCTCTTGGTGTAATTCAAGATTATTTTCTTTAAATCAACACTGCACTGCATTATATATTGTCAATATGTAAAATAAATTTCAAAATGACCAATAATTTGCTTGCAAACACAGAAAAAAGCGTTTAGTTGAAGAGAGTCTCGAGCAAGATGTTACCTCCACTGAAAAGACACAAAGACTGACGCCTGTATGGGGTGTTGAGAGGCTGGATGGCGAGCATAAAACTAGTTTCATTACCTTCAATTATGTTCAATAATTGTTAAAAGGACTAAAAAAATTAATATTAAACTTTTAAAATTATTGAATAGTATAAACTTCTTGATATTTGCTAAAATGGTAAGGAATTTAAGCCCTAGAACCGATTACTGTATTGGCGGACTAATACTACAGCTGGTGGACCGCCAAATGCAAGCGAAAACATGTTCAGGTCGGCTCGTAAGAAACTCGTTAATTGAGGGATTGCTCGTTAACCGAGGTTAAGAATCTTATGGAAGGTAACTCGTTAACCGAGGTACCACTGTACAGTATTTTATGTATATTCTGTACATGGGGGGATCATCCTCATAAGGGACAGAACTTGCTTGAATAAGTCTGGTATAAGGTTGAATTGTTGAGCACAGTTTTGGCTTTAAGCCAATTTAAGGAAACAAAAAATATATTTTTACCAGTTGCAATTTTCTCTGTTGGCTTGGCGAATTGGCTAGGAATTAACATACCTTGGTAACATTGCTGATGTCGCATTCCAGCTTGAACAAAAATATATTTTTACCAGTTGCAATTTTCTCTGCCTTATCAATCCATATATACTTTTTAACTTCAGCCATCATCTTGGTGTCATAGGTTTTTGAGTTGAAAAGAAAAAACCGTACTTTACAGTAATATGTTACAAACAAAAAACTAGGCAACAGTGAACCAGACAAATTACTGTTACAATGGACTGGCCAGTAGTCATCAAGGAAACAAACTTATGCACTGTATGCACTTCTTATTGTAGATTCAGTTGAAGTTTTATAGCAGTGGTCTATCCTCTCTCTAATGTAAATAGATAGAAGCATTATTCAACAGAACTATGACCTCTCACCCAGTGCAGTACGTATATATTTACAGTGAGAGCCTATTAAAATAAATGTTATTTTTAGAAGAATGGGGTAAAGCCAAGCTCCAGTATTTCAGAATCTGATAAAGTGAAGTCTTATTGTATGTAGTGGTTACAGATGAAGATGGTCTGCTGAGAAGGTTGTGGAGTAAAAAGGATGTAATAAGAAGATAAAGAAGGGTCTGTGAGTAAAAGTAAAAGAGGAAGTGGTGAAAAAATAAGAGCTGAAAAATAAAGATTAGATGGTAAAAAGTTTACATTAAATTTAAGGGTCAGTTGAGAGAAGATTGTTGTGATTAACATGAGGTGTTGATTGTTTTGGAAGGAAATAGTAAGGGAGTGATTTGTGTAGTTATGATAGGGAGGCACAGCAGAGTAATTTGGGAAGATGGATCTGTACTTGGTAACGTTATGTAAAAGAGAAGGCTGCACGAATGGAGTATCTTGGGAAGGACAAGTGTGTAGACGTGGTAAGGAATTGATCGGTGTACCTGAAATAGAGTTGGAAGATAAGGATTTTAATTCATTGGTAGTTGTGTACTGTAGTTGTTGACTTCCATTGTCATTTTTCATAATTGTTAATAGATGTAATTCAGTTTTATTCCATTATGCATGTGCTGCTGCTTAATTATTGTATTAGTTACTGTACTCAGATCACAATTTGTACCACACCTGTATTTTGGTAATCGTTTCAGTAGATGAATATTTTTTATGAATTATACTGAATGTTGACTAAATATATTCAGACCTCTGATAATTGGAATATGTACATAAGATCAATATTCTTAGATAATTTTCTTTTACTGATTGAGTTAGTAAGTATGGTAGGTAGGAGATAGAATAACATTGAACCTTTACTGACTCACAGACTCCACAGAGGAGGACCCAGCGGGAGGCGACAGCAGCAAGAGCAACAGCATCACGTCAGAGAAGTCAGTCATATCAGCCGGGGTCAGTCAGTCGTCCCAGTCCCAGTCATCCTCCACCAACTCCCTCCATCATCATCATTTACTCCACCAGCCCCATCATCCATACCAAACACAGTCTCAACCCATTTTACAACATTCACCATATATTGCCCCTCCAGTACCACCACATCATCATCATCCTTCACATCATCATCATCAGTCACACTATTCACCACAGCCACAGCATCATGCACTTCCATATCACCATCAATCTACCACACCGTCACTTTCGCCATCTCCGTCATCGTCATCTTTACATCAAACAGATTTAGGTATACCCAATAATAATCACCATCCATTAACACCACCATCTACACATATACCACCATCAGCCATTGACACCACTACCATTTCCTCCATCACTAGTACCAATGCAACAGCCTCCACCACCCCAACCCTTCTGCTTCAGCTTCCGGGGCAGAATGCTCCCTCCACCACTACCAACAACAACGCCACCAACAACGCGTCTTCTACTGTCAAGTCGCGTCGTGGACGGGTAGGCGGCTCCTCCCCTTTGCCTTCCACCACTCACGTTGCCACCTGCTCGCTAGCTTGGACGGTGCACCATACTCCCAAATTAACTCACATTTTTATTAACACAACTGTTGCCAGACTAACCAGCCAGTCCATCAGCTGCCTGGCAGTTTGTAGTTGCTAAATGCTAACCAACTGTAAAGCTGGATGGATTGACCTGCTTTTCAGTTTGCACCCTTACTCACTAACATGAAAAGGAAGGGAAATTATAATAACTTAATATTCATTGTCTGTAAATATAAGCTTTCATGGTTTCCTTGTGCAAAGTACCATAACCACAATTTTCTCAATTGCATTATTGCAATGCTTTCTTTTCTTACCTATGCAGCTCTTAATCAAATTCAAGTGCACTTCTGATGAGGAAAGTAATTTGGAGCAATGAATTATTTCATTAAAAATGAATGATATTTTAAGCACTTTAGATAGAATTACTAGACATGGTAAAAACAACGGTTTGCCAATAATATGTTAGTGAGCTTATTTATACACTTACAAGTGGCTAATTGATATATCATTATCAATAATGTTCAGAGTAGGATTAGTTTTATATTATTCCAGTATCCCAGTTGAGCTAAATTATTTTCATATGGATGCTTTTCATACTCTCTAGATTTCTTCTGTCAAAAGCCCTTAAAATTTCAACAAACTGAAAATTAGCAAAATTAAATTACAATTATCATTTGTAATAGTTCTTGAATGATGGGGCAATAGTTCAAGCAGTCCCTGCAGACAAGAAACTAAAACATTAGCAGTCATTACCCTTTGCTGCTCAGTATTTCCCTCCCTGGTTCCCCCTGACTTAAAAAATTGTTGTACATAGACGTAGAAGCCCTTAGATGGTTCTTCCCTTTATAGTGAGAATATAGATTTCAGTAATGCTGAAAAATAGAGCTTTCATACTTGCCTTGTAATGTGCTTTCCGTGCCATAATCTCAGGATACTGCATCTTTGAACGGCATTTCCTAAGCCTTTTGTAGGTAGTGAAGTGCTTGTTTTTAAAGAAGGACTATAGTCTGTTTTGATCGTTGCTAAAGTGCCTGCTTTCAGTTCATATAAAAATCTTCGTTAGGTTTTGCTATGAATGCAATTCCAGAGTCAGCTGAATGTGTGCTCAAAGTCTTCTCACTAACATGTTTTGGTTGCTGTTTAGCTGCACATCTGATGTTAATTGTGTGTATCACGGGCTTAATTATTGCTTCTTCTGAATGCCCAACTCTCAATAAGCGTATGAGTAGAAGGTGGCTGGAGGCAAATTGGGGAGTGGAGTGTTTAGGCTTGTGTCTGGGTTTGGTGGATGTATTGCAGGAGACCTTTGGGCTTTCCCTACATTCCCTAGTTGAAAATAACTAGATGGTGCTTTAATGACAATAGTATGGGAGATATGTTAATGCTCGTAAGCTTCATATGTCAGCAAGGGTCCTCCACACTGTGATGTTGGTGTTCAGTTATTAGTACTATTGTGAAAAGTATTTGGTAACTTATTTGTTCTTGGAAATATAGATTAAAATAAACAATTGTTACGTAGCATTAAGTGCACTTCGTTATTTTATCGCCACAGTGGAATTTATACTTAATAGGCATTGTAATCTGTTAGTGATATTCTAATAACAGATGAATATTAATAGATTCTCATTTAACAAGTTTTATCAATTATATATTTAAACAGTCCATAAATAATGTACCGTACCATTTTTCAAGTATGGTAATAGTTTTCGTGTAGCCGTTGTACTGTTCATTATTATTTTCTTTATCTAAATTGATAAATTTCAGTCTCTCTCTTTTTGTTTTAACTAAGTTTTGCTAGACGCGTTGGTGAAGTGGGCGTGGTTGTCATGTGGAGGCTAACTCACTTTAACCTAAGCTTATGCACATGGGATTTTTGCTATAATCCCAAATTGTGCCCAATTAAATTTAATTGTGTAAATCAAAACATTGCAAAATTTGAAGACCATGTAAACAGGTCCAGTTTCATTGTATTTTAATACATTATTTTTAGTGGTAAGTATTTTTTTACATGAGTTCCATTATTTTTATTGATTAATTGAGCACAATTTAAAGGTATAGCAATTCTGTGTATAACTAGAGCCTGCCTTGTCTATTAGGAATTTTACTTGCAGGAAAAATTTCTTTTTATTCTTTAAGTTTGCAGCATCCACTAAAGTTTTGACAAAGTGATGGGTTAATTATACAGTATACATTAAAACACTCCTCATGTATTAAGAAATTTGTTTGTACTGTAGTGGAATTTTTTTTTGGAGATGTTCTTTGGTATAATTGTTTTATGATTGGGAAATTACTCAATATTTTCTTTTATAAGAAAATTAGTGGCTAGTTAACTGGTTAATTTAGCTGCTAGCACTTTGACAAGCAGGAACATTTGCCGGTAAGCAAGTGTAGGGGTGTGGGGACGATTAATCACAGTCTACTATTGCAGTGCATGGCTCTGGGGAAGCATTTTGGTATTGTCATGTGCATGCATTGCACATAATTATATCATGTGTTTAATTTGTATAATGTATTGATAGCAAGTGTTTTGGCCATGGATAATTAATCCACATATATAGCTTTTGACTCGCTCACTATCTTTAGCCCCAAAACAACTGATTTTTTTTATATTTGAGGAACTGTTGTACTTTCATATATTGTTTTCGTGTCAGGGAGGGTTGTCTAGAGAAACAGGGATATATGGTAAGGACAGAAATTGTCTCGGCAAGTGTAGCCTATTGGAAAAGTGGAATAAAGTAGGGAAGGACAAAATAGCTCAATAATGGAAAGAACAGAGGTATAAAGTGGGAAAACAGTATTAACTGAAAGGAAAATTGTAGTGGTTATCATATGACAAACTAACAAGTGGTTCAAGAAAAGAATGAGATCAGTGGAAGAAGGGCAGCCAGTTAAATGACGTGGATCCCCTGCCCTCTCAGTGAGTGATGTAAAAGTTGTCTGGAAACTAAAAGGGTAACTTCCAAGAACTCCAAATTTATCTAACCTGATTGACATGCGAGGTTTGCCTGTAGCAGGTGGGTCCCGAGACTCATTAGGCACTACCTTTAAGTGGTGACTGTCGTTCCTAATATACTCCCCTTTTTAAGGACTATGGTTGCAGTGGAAATATATGACTAATTAGTGGAATATATTCAAGGGTTTATTTAGGTTATCAAATGATAGACTTAGTAGGTAATAAATGAGTGCAACATTATGGGCTTTGTCATAAAATGGGATATGAGAGGCAGTTCTTCATTATTTTATTTACACGGTCTTGGTGGGTCAGGGGATACAACCTGTGTAAATCATCAGCTGACTACCTGTAATCATAAGTTAGTAAAATTTGCTCATCTATAAGTTTTCTGCAAAAATTTGTGGAAGTGTAAATGTGGTGTACGGCATATGAAAGGGTGATGCGTATGTGGCAATAGGGTTTTGCACTGTTTACTTTGTCTGTCCCACATATATGGTGTCAATTTTGTGAAATCAGTTTCTTCCTCTCTTTTTGCTTGAATTATTTCTTCTTTTTTTGTATTCTGGATACATGTAATGTAGTGAATTTTTAGTGAAAGTGTCCAAGTGTTAAAAGTGGAAATTCTTTTCCATTGATTCTGTATCTTAAATTAGTGAAATCAACTTTTATACCAAGATGGTTTAGCTTCAAAAAGACTGTCCATTCATCCATCCCTCTGTACCACCAATAGGGTGTCTATAGTTTGTAGTCAACTCCTTTCACATATTTCATGTAATATATTATTTTATTCCTCTGGCCAAAGGAGTACAGTACAGTGGTCAGCATGTCTGTTTGTCTGTTAAGTAATTTTTTGAAAGATTTTTCTCTTTATTGGGGGAAGAAATTTGGTGGCTACTTTTATTCCCCATAGCTCTTGAGGAGTTTGTCCTTCATGGTGTAGTGTTAGTACAGGAGGGAACTGGATTACCTAAAGAAGACCTGCACTATTCAGTAGGGTCACTGTGGACAACACCCTTCTTATATTTGACCTGGGATAAAGCCCAGGACATGGTAAGAGGTTAGCACTGTTTAACCAAATTGACTTTCTGTGTAATAAGTTTGTAAAATAATTTTTTTGTCAGGTTTCATTGGAATTTCATACCTTTTTCTGCTGTTGTTGTATATAAATGTTTTATGAGTGTGACAAGATTTAGCTTAAATAGTTTGTCACTGCTCTTGTGGGTGATACAGACTGGAGAGAAAGAGACGGCGGGCAAGTGTGTTTAAGGGTTTAGGAATAGAAAGGGAATTAACCTGGTGGAGGTGCTGTCAAAGGAATGGTCTAGTAATAGCAAACTCCTTATGAAATGGAAGTCACGGAAGTGGTAATAGCATGATTGAAAGTGACTTGGTAACTGTTAAAAGCAGCTAATAAAGGATAGTGAGAGACTGCAATGCTGCTGTTGGAGGTAACCTGTAATAACCTCAACTTAGACTGCTGAATTTTTTAAATAAGAATTAGGAAGGGAAACCAGAAGCCAAGGTTAAGGTGAAAAGGGATAAGGTAGTGGAAATATATTAGAGACTGGAGGAAGAAGTGTAGGAGAAAACTGGGATAATTAGAGGAAATTAGAATGGAGATGGAGAGAGAATGAGCAACTTTCAGGAAGGTTTTGTGGGTACAGCTGAAGACATGTGTAACAATGTCTTTGAAACCATAGAAAGGGAAAAGAATGAATAATGAAGCACAAGCAGTGTTATAGAAGAACAAAGTTGGGGGAGATTGGACAAAGGATGTGAGGAGGAAGCATTTGTACCTGAACCAGGGTTAAATGGAGCGAATTAGTGCAGTGAAGAGAGCAGTATATAGAGCAAAAGATGAGAGAGAGAACTGTATGAAGAGACTGAGGGAAATTGTCATGAGATGGATATCATTGTTAACCCCTTGTGTGTGGGGGTCTATGTGCTGAATAAAATCGCCAGGCTTTAACCAAATAAAATATTAAAAGTGGCACCCTGTAGTT